GTGCACCCGGCCTAGTACCCAGGCCCTGTTGTATCTCGTGCCGTCAAAATATTTATTTCTGTCTTCTTCGCGGGCTCATTCGTCAGAAATAACATTATTTGATAAAGCAGGTTAAGTTACATAAAATGGCAGCGAAAGGCTGATGTGGACCTGCATCTAAAATAAGTTAAATAAATGGTCACCAAATAAGGTTACATAGAGAGTTCCCATGATTATACTACTACATGAGAAATTACTGCAATCTGATTGGCTTAGAGCAGTAGTATTTCAGCTTAATTTGAAATACCTACATGTGAAAATTACAAACCTTTTGCGGGTAGTAGTATAAACAAATAATAGCATGATTTGTACGTGATATTTGGCATAAATACCACTCGTGATATTTCAAAGTTGTCTCAAATTTCACTCGCCTAACGGCTTGTGAGTTACGTATAACAATTTTGAAATATCACTCGTGGTATTTATGCCAAATATCACTACAAATCATGCTATTACCTATACTTATACTAACGGCTCGTGAAATTACGTATAACAATTTTGAAATATCACTAGTGGTATTTATGCCAAATATCACCACTAATCATGCTATTACCTATACAAATTAATTTAACTCTTGATAGAAACAAATGAATAAAAAGGCGAGTCATTGCGACTGAAGATGGGAAATGGGCCGAGTTTCTTACGTGACACAGTCTGTAACCATAGCAACATTAATGCTGCTGAATGGTCTCTTTCTATAAGGATTTGTTTTTTTTTTTGGCTCATTGACGTTAGAGAAAACCAGCGGTACTTCATTTACCAAAACGTTTTAGGCTTGGTTAGAAATAACCATATTGTTCTTGTCATCACGAAAAGTAAAAGGCCTGAAAATAATAACAAAGGTTGCTTAACTTCGATACTAAACAAAAGTTTTGCTGGTGATATAGGGTTATCGGCCAAAATTGAAAAAATATATACATAGGATGAAAAAGTATTTATTAGAGAAACGTGTGCGTTCATCTTTCTGACCGTAACGTTTGTTTCGTAGCTTCTACATGTTTCAGTGTCTTTTGTAGTTCTGACGTTGTTGGTAAAACGCGTTTTATTCAGTTCAGTTCACGGCACGCCAGCTGACTGATCACGACTTTCAATTGTGCGGGTAATTTTTTAGTTAACGTATTCTAGAACAGTTATGCACAAAATGGGATCATGTGGTACCAAAGTGGATACCCGTCCTGGAATGTCACAGAACAATGCAAATAATTACGGAGTTAAAATGCACCACAGCGAACATTGTTCCGTTATCCAAGAAACGTCAGAAAAGGGAACAAATCAAACACAGGATCGTGTTAAAAAGAAAAAGGAATGAGTCATCGCTAAGGGTAGATTCACGAACTACGCAGTACGCACAAAATCGACCAAGACGGAATATCCAGGAAGAGTTCATTTAGTGAATCGACTACAAAGGGAGTTCAACTATTTGCAACCCAGTGATGTGAAAAAGGTCAATGTGTAGCAGAAAAATGTTAACTTGATCAAACGTCACTTTCTAAACACTATGAAAGAATACAGGTTTTCAAATGTTCGCACGGGATGCTGTATTGCACTCTTAAATAATAACATTTGTAACAGCAATGGATTGCATTTTTCATTATGTACTTGCAACGCTAAAAATATACCTAGAAACTTAAGAAAAGAGATTTTATAGCCCTTCTTCTGAATGATTCGCCCGCCAAGTAAAACCAAATATTATTGTAAATAATCAACCATGTCGTTTGTGAATACCTCCTTTTGTCATAACGCCTTCCTTTCCTTTTCTCGCGTGACAACTTGTGACAAAGTTTTGTTTTGTTTTTTCGTCTTTTGTTTGTTTGTTTGTTTGTTTTTTTTTGGGGGGGGGGGGGATGTCAACACTAGACTTGCCTCAACTCTTTTTGCATTAACAGGGAGGTCATAGAGGCGTTTTTCACTTGTAATCATGGTGTAACCATAGCTACAGTGAGGTACTTGCATGTTCTCGTTTTGAATAGAGTCCGTTGATATCCTGGTTGACGTTCGCTGATTTCTCGAAGGAAAATCGGCGGTATTTTGTAGCGTATTTTCATTGTCTATTCTCATTGTCTAGATCTCAAATCGTCTTCCGAACAGATATTTTCCCGAAAATTGCCGTTGGGTGCCCCTGTCTTTTGATATGTAGCGCCATTTAATAACCCAAGCGGGATTCGCTCCAGTGAAGATTGTGGATAATTGATCCTCGACCCTTTAATCACCCTGTGACATTTGCAGTTCGTCGGAGTGAAGTTTGTTTTGGGATTGTGTGCTGACAAAAAAACAAAAAGCGATTATCACATATATATTTGCGCTGTGAAGAAAATAGACTAAAAGAGCGATCGATAATTACCTTAGTTCATAGGTACATAATAGAGTGGTTACCAAAATTATAGCATTTTATTACATCAAATACTTCTATGCTCTTTACATTATTCTGCCAGTGAAGTGCTGCTTAATTAAATTAAATATTCCTTTAATGTCGCTGTTATGGTAAACGGTTTTATTCCACGTGATAGGCCAAGTGTGTGTGCGTGTGTTTTTTTTGGATTCACACTTCACAAGAGCCGTCTCATGTTTTTACCGGCGAAAGTAGTAAGAGGAGTGACTGGAACCGAGTGACTGCTCGCTTTGCACATATTAATACGGCCAGGTTTTTCCTATAAGTAACGGCGATTCCCATACGCTGAATTCCGATGTCAGCCGTCCAGTAGGGATGGTCGATGTCGTGTCATGTCATGTCAACAATTTAACGATAAATACGACTGTGGGGTTAGTTCTAGTTTCAATTTAAAGAGGGTGCTGTATCGATTGGGGGGGACGGGATGAGTGAAGATCAAAAAAAATTTTTTTTCCCAAGATTTCATAAAGTAAATTGCTTAAGTGACATGTAGATGACGAAAATGACGATAACAAATAAAAAATGTTATTATTATTACTATGGAATAATAATAATAATAATAATAATAATAATAATAATAATAGTAATAATAATAAAAATAAAAATAATAATAATAATAATAATAACAACAATAAGAATAATGATAATGATAATTTAAATGACAATGATAATGATATTGATAATAACAAAAAGTAAAGAAAGAAAAAAAAAAGCTGATTGTGCATTGGAGCTCTGAAGATGGTGAAGTGGGACTTATCAAGGTTCTTTTGGCCTTAAAAAAGGCATGAACATTAGATCTGTTAGGGAAAGCATGCCTGTTAGGCTCTGCAAGAATACTGAGGAAAGAATTGGCCACTTGGCGAGGTTTAATATGACATAGAAAAAGGTTTAAGCCGTCAGTCTCGACACCTAACAAACGTTGAAAACAAACAGAGAGAGAAACGGGAAAAAAAATATTAGGACCTTGCACTTACATTTTGAGTGAAGAAAAAAGTGGTACATGTACCAGCCAGTCATTGTGGAAAATCTGCTTTAAACAGCCAGCATTTTGTGGCAGATTCTTGAAGTGTAAGGTCTTGGGAATGGACCAGGCTAGGAGCCGATAACCTTTTCGTCCAGACTAAAGTTATGAAATGCTTTGTTTCCAGGACAATGAGAACCTGTGTGAATGTTAAAGAGAAAATAGTTAAAATAATAATAGTAATAATATAAATAATAATAATAGCTAAAATAATAATAACAGTAATAATAATAATAATCACCACCACCATCATCATCATCATCATCATCATAAGAACAATGGCAATGATAATGACAGTGATAAGAATGTAATAACTCATATACAGTCGAACCCCGCTTTACAGACATCTGCTTAATACGGACACCTCGTTAATACGGACAGTTTTCTCTGTCCCTGGGGGTGAAAAGCCCTTACATTCTCTCTCTACATTCTCTACATTCTCTCTGCCATTGTTCTTATGATGATGATGATGATGGTGGTGGTGGTGGTGATTATTATTATTATTACTATTATTATTATTTTAGCTATTATTATTATTAATATTATTATTAATACCGACACCCATTAATACGGACACTTTCTAAAGTCCCATCAGTGTCCGTATTAACGGGGTTTGACTGTACATGTATTGTAAATTGCAGTGGTTTTACGAGGGATTTTCAAGAGGAATTTTAACTGAAATAACTGAAATAGAAAAACCACTTTGAGAAAAGCAGTGCTGGTCAAATTAAAAAAAAATACATTTTGCATCTACTAGTTTTTAATTAAGCTTTAAAATGTCATAAATAATAAACAATCAAATTGTAAAATGCAATGCATTTGGAGGGGGGTTTATATTGGGGGGGGGTTATAGTCAGATACATTGTTGTGGTTTACAGGGAAATGGGCTTATAGGTGGTAGTTTACAGTATTCTACAAAACTTGAATCAACTTTCTGTTTGCAAATACATTGGAGGGGAGGCAGTTTTAAAGTGCAGGTGACACTTGCTAAGACATGAAAATGAAAATGTATCAATTTTTATTACACAAATAGCCAAATTACCAATATACCAGTAAATCATAGTTTCTTTTGCTGTTATGAATTTGTACATGTATATATTAAAAAGAGAAATAAAAGGTTCACATGACTTCGTTCAAAATTTACAAAACTATTTCTCTTTAGATATCAAAATTCTTTTTTAAAATTTTCTATGATAATTTACAACTTATACCAGCACATGATAGTTTCTTTTGCTGTTATGAATTTGTATTTGTATATATTTAAAAAAAAGGTTCACATGACATATCAAAATTATTTTTTTAAAATTTTCTGTGATAATTTATAACTTCTTTGCATACTTTCTTTTTGTAAAGGGGGAAATAAACTAATAACTTTTCCACTCGGTAAGATAATAAACCTCTATTTTTTGCATAAAAATTACTTTTGAAAAAATGCAGCAACTAATAGCAAAAAAATAATAGTAAAATAAAAAATCATGGGCCAATTTTTTTTTAATTTTTCAGTTTTTTTTAAAGGTTGACCAAAACACTTTGCTTTATATTAAACTGCTTCTACAAAAGCCACTTTTCTTTACAAGGATTTTTATCCATGCAAAGATACAAGCCACCAAATTCCAAGGCTGCGGACTTGAATGTTCTTGTCTCAATCAGTTCATAACCTCTGAAGGTTGACTTATAGACATGAAATTTAGCAAGTGCAACATAGCTCTCAACCAAAATAGGGGCAAAACCATCCTCAGTTGGCCCAAGCAAACATGTCTGGAATGTTGATGGAGCTGCATGGATTTCAAATTCAAGTTTGTGCTCAAAGCTTTGCACAGTTGCATTCATCATGCCAGTACAGCCGTCGATATGCTTTGTTAACCAAGAATTTGTTGGCCTGAAGTTGAGTGTCACTTTTGAGCTGCGGTACCCAATCAAATGTGCTGGGATGTCAAATGAGGCTATATCAAGGACTCCAAGAGATATTGCAAATGAGGACCCTGAAGGTCCATCGACACCCTCCCCCCAGATCCAAGCTGGCGGAAATCCTTTGCCCCAGTTCTTTTCTTGGTGTACTAGGCCTTTATTTCCTCGCAGCATTTCCCCAGTGTTTTCATTGATCCAGTTGTAGTTTATAAGATCTGAGCCTAAACTGTACACAAACCAGTGCAAAGGAAGAAAAGGTACATGACCAATCCACCCCTCTGGGCCCTCCCCGTTTGGGCCCCAGGGTCTCGGTGGTCCCAAAACGCCAATGAAGCTTACTCCGCTTACATTTGTAAAATTGAACCTCGTTTCCTGTTCGGTAACTCTGAAATATCCATACGGTTCCGCGCGCCATTCGAAGTTCGCCGGAGATTTGAAATCGGGATCGTCCGTAACTGGCTTGCCGCGAACTGTCACCTTCACATTTTCGCTCGAAGGGTAAACTTCGAAACTTTCCATAGAGCTCTCATCCCCTTTGCTGTGAATTATCGACACCATGTTCAGCGGGTAATTGTTGAAGTGGGCGCCCTGTTTTCGTCTTATAACTTGTCCAAATAGAATGCCAAATGAGTGGTTTGATTCAAAATCTATTATTCTTGCATACCATCCTTCCATGAACGGGCCATCCGCTGGAAAAACATGAGGGTCGTATTGATTAGCCAACGTTAATACGGCTTGTGTTGTCAGCGTAATAAGGAACAGAGACCGCATGGTGTTCCTCTCTGTTCTTACGATGTATAGAGCTGAATTGTAGAGCATAAAACCCACACAATTTCTGCTGTGAGATGACTCTTTTCTCTTGCGTATGTGGAATCATGTGAATTGCAGGGATTTTGCGAAAAAATAAACGGAAGAAAGCTGGACTCTACTATATTGTACAAACCGCTGGTCAGAAAACAAGGGTCTCATGATAAACATTGATTGAAATGTTGTGGAAACTACCAGATGTAATTATCATTTTTCTCGATGAAAATCGGCGCAATGGGATAGAATTCTATTTCTGTAGAGCAAAGTTTTGATTTATGCACTTTGTACATTGATGATAGTTTGGCATGAAGGATCTGTTGTGTTCCATCGTAAGACCAGAGGACGTCAGCAAGCTTCAAGAACTTGACAACCATGAACTGTCATTACAGTCAGTCAAATGATCACTCGAGTCTAGTTTGACAAGGATCTGCAGCTTTAAAATGGTTTGGCGATGCGACGAATGTAACATTATTTTTGGGAATCAAAAGCTCTATGACACCCATAAAAAGAAGTTTTGTGTTGGGAGTGCTGCAGATCCAGCTCGCATTCATTCGAGGATTTCAAAAAAGAGTGAAGATTGGGAAGGAAGGAAAGATAAGCAAGCCTTAAGCACGGTACGTTTAAAAACGAGTAGGATACATTGAGTAGCTTACTTTTCGTCCTTAGCCACCCTAACTTAATTACACACCATTTGATTTTCTTCTTGGTTAACGGTGCATTAACCTGCAAGAAAGCTGCACTTTTGATCTCATCGCTTCATTAAATGCGAAATTCTTCCAAATTTAGTCATCAATAGCTGGTTATATGGTGAATTATGCGTGTGCTTTTAGCCAATGAGAATCAAGGAAATATTTTGAAATTATCAAATTTGCAATTATATTATCTATTTTAGCCTTTGCCAGATATCAGAACCCAATCCAGTTTGTCTGCACCCAATACTCCTTCAAGGACTTTGCATCCACTTCAAGACAGTAATCAGAACACCGTAAGTAGGATGTATACTTGTAGATCATACACTATCCGACACTATGATGAAATTAATATTACATGATACAAAACATTAAAAGCATTCTTATTCAGGGTTGTCATTAAGAGGCGGGGGCCGGGGATTTCCCCCGGCTGCTAAGGACGTGGCCCTTGGCTAATTTCATAGGAAAATAGAAGAAAAATAGATCCAAAAGAAATCCCTAGCTGTTTTATTCCCCCCCTACTTGTTGTATTTACACAGCAACTTGAAATCTTAGTGACAGCCCTATTTATTGATATTATTCTAAACAACTGAGTAAGCCATAAGTGGAAGCTACAAGGTGATAATTATTGTTGAGTCACATGCCAAAGAGGAAGTTACATGACATGTATGTGCTAATTAAGCCAGAGCTTTGTTTGAATGTGTTTGTTTCCAGATTATATTTTTGTCTTCCATTTTATTTCTCTCTTTCTCTCTTATCATTGCACCTTATTATTATTTGTTTCTAGCAATTACACAAAAGTTACCATCAGACTTATCACCGTTCTGCACCAAACACTCCTAGCGATGGCCGCAGCATCTCTGCTCTTGAAAAGGAAAAGGTATACTGTTATTTAACTTTTGAGATCTTTGCTTTAACCCTTTAAGCCCTAAGAGTGATCAGCATCAAATTTCTCTTTGTAATATCAATGCTTTGTAAAACAGAGTAGTCATGAGAATTACGGACATGATCACACAAGATGAATCTGCTTGATATTTTAGCAACTTCTCCCCACTACTTTTGTAGGAAATGAATAGCGGCAACAAATGAGAATTCATATTTTGATCTCAGGGTTTAAAGGGTTAAATAATTTCTGCTCAATATGAGTTTAAACTGAATACTTTTGTTTAAATGAATAATTTGGACATTGTCAGCAGTTGTCAAGGGTTTAAGTGAGCAAAAACAAAGCAAAACAAAACAAAAACAAGAGGATAAATAAATGCATGTCAATACACACCAGTAAAAATATAATAATTAAGGAAAGAAAATACTGAGCCTGTTAAAAAAAAGCAAACAAACAAAATAACAACAACAACAGAAGTTTGCATACATTTTACAACCCTGCTCAAGATTCTGTAAAATTTTATAAAAATTTTATAATCTTCACCCATTGATGCGGCCTCTTTTGCAATTGTTGGTCTCGCGCCAGTACTTTTCCAGTACTCTTCAGCAGCGACCTCTTCAATAATAAACTGGTTCAAGAGGGGGTGCGTAAGGGTTTCGGGTGATGCAGTTTTGCAGAAATGTTTATTTTAAGCTGCGGTATTGCTGTTTTACAAAACCAAGTGGTTTGTGGTATTTTGAAATTTTTTTGGTAATTTCAATGAGGTTTGCGGTTTTCTTATGTCATTCTGTCACGACTGTGCGTTGTTTATGCGTATTTCTGTACAGTTTTGCAGTGTTCGTACCCCCCTACAGCCCTCTGGTTCAAGAAAGCTTTAACAATTTTTTTCTTGTGAAACTAAGGGAGTATAGGAATTATTACTGTACATCAAAAGTCTCATCCATATTTGTAATACTCCTTCCCTTATGTTGCCCTCTGTATCTTTAGATTGAACAACTTAAAATGTTTAAGATGCATCAACAACTGCAGAGAAACTCAAAGAACTTTGAAGAGAAACTTCTGCTCAACAGTTTGAAAGATGAACAGAGACATGTAAGTTGAATAAGATTATATATAAATGATGATTTATCTAATGGGAAAAATACAAATAACAATAGAAAAGATGAAATGTAATTCTAAGTTTCTTTCACTTCTGAGTTCTTAAGAACTCATTTTAATGTGTCTGTGTGTTCCAGACTGACCAAAGTATACTGTAATTTGAAAGTGTTGGTTTTTGAGGGGAAAGCAGAGTACCCGGAAGAAAACCTATCATAGCAATGGATATAACCAACAATAAACTCAACCGACATTATAAGATGCTGTGAAAGCCGAGATTTGAATCAAGACCACATTGGTGGAAGGTGTGTACTTTCACCCCTGCACCACCCTTGCGCCCACCTCCAAATAAACAAAAAAGCAATATCGACCTCAACAACAGTTGCAGAGAAACTCAAAATACTGCTCAGCAGCATCAATGATAAACAGACTGAGACATGTAAGATTGATGGTATGTTATGAAAAAACAACAAATAGTCCTACTTAAAGAAAGTAATCAATATAATATTTTACATTAATTTTCAGTCACCAAGAAGATTCAATGAGGGCAACAGGGGTGATGACAGAATTTTGCAGCTGACAGAGATTCATCGACAACAGCTTGCAGAACTTAAACAAAGAAATGAGAAACTCCAGGAGGAAAAAGCAAGTATGGAAATGTACAATTATAGCAAATATTACGTTAAAGAAGTTACTAAAAATACAAATTATTACATTTTTTAAAGACCAAACTATTGTGGTACTATATACTAGTTACATTATTGTAGATGGTGAAACAGTTTTATTTAAATTACATAGTCACATAATTATTTTTGTATAATTTGCTCTTATTATAACTACTGATTATTGGACTAAAAAGTTTCCTTTTTCGGTTCCTTTGTGTGTTTACTTCTGGTGTTTTGTAGAGTTAGCTGAAAGGATGAATAGCTTAGGACTAAAAAGTCAGCAAAGAATCCCTTCTCAAGGTTTTCTGGTAAGTTAGAGATTGTAATACAGTGTATTTTGCTGGTGTACGTGTTATCATGTTAAAAATTAAAACTGGCCTGNGAAGTTACTAAAAATACAAATTATTACATTTTTTAAAGACCAAACTATTGTGGTACTATATACTAGTTACATTATTGTAGATGGTGAAACAGTTTTATTTAAATTACATAGTCACATAATTATTTTTGTATAATTTGCTCTTATTATAACTACTGATTATTGGACTAAAAAGTTTCCTTTTTCGGTTCCTTTGTGTGTTTACTTCTGGTGTTTTGTAGAGTTAGCTGAAAGGATGAATAGCTTAGGACTAAAAAGTCAGCAAAGAATCCCTTCTCAAGGTTTTCTGGTAAGTTAGAGATTGTAATACAGTGTATTTTGCTGGTGTACGTGTTATCATGTTAAAAATTAAAACTGGCCTGCCCCAGTTGTTGAAAAGCCGGATAGTGCTATCCACCGGAGAAAAAAAAAATCACTATCCAGTGGATAAATATCAGGGAAACCAATTTCGCTATCAAGTGGAAAGAGATTTATCTGGTCAGGGTGCAAAGAAAGTCAGTTTTACAGCCTGCCATTCGGGCAAGCTGTAGCTAGCATGTACTAGCCCACAAGTCATTTCAACTAGCTTGAAAACCCTTTTTGATTAGCAGGATTAATTACAATCCTTCTGTAATTTGAATTTCCCCTCAAAGCAGCACTTGCCCGTCGGGCAAGTTAAGAACAAAAATCACTAGCCCGACAGCAAAATCCACTAACCCTGGGCTATCGCACACGACTTTCTTTGCACGCTGCTGGTGGATAGCACTATCCACCTTTTGAACAATTGTAATTGTTGAGACTTAAAGGGTATTAACCCTTTAAGTTCCAATGGTGACCAACTTTAATTTTGTCCTAACGATATCCATACAATGTCAAGAGATTAGGTTATGAGAATTAATTAAATGATCACCAAAGAGAAAATGCTTTGATCTTTTCTCAAATTCTTTCTCTCAAATCATTCTTTAAAGAAATGTATAGAGATCAGTTTAGAGAATTTACTTGTGGATATTGGGGCTTGGGTTAACTGGGACCAGGTGGACAACTTTTCATTTTTGAAATGAATAGAAATAGGCTTTCCTTCAGTTTCTTGGAAAGTATCCATTGTTGCCATGCACACAATTTAGTAGGTACATGGACTGTTCTAGATGAATAGTCATGATTAAATACGGACAACTCTCGCCTTGTGGACACCCCGCTATAATGAACTCCCCAATAATATGGACAGCAGCTAAATCCCAGGCAAAAATAAAGTACAGATGTTTGACTGAAATAAACTCCCGCTATTACAGAATAATGAGGATACTAACTCAAGGTTCCTACAGTGTCCACTATAAAAGGAGTTGACTGTATATTAAAGTAAAAGTTCTCTTAATTTATGACTAGACGGGTCTGGGCGGCCAATTTTTACTCTAATGTGAAATGCCCTTAAGAAAGCCAGCCTTGTGATGGTTATTGAAAACAATATCGCTACCATTTTTTATCTTACATTGGACGGGAATAGCTGGGTGGAGTGGGAGGGGAAGAGGAAGATGCATGGCTAGAAAACTGAAATTTTAAGAATGACAAAGTAATGTAGAGTCCGGGTGTGAAGTTCAAGAAGCGGTGATCCGTGATAAAACTCTCTTTCTCACGGGACTATTATTTTGATGTTTTCATGCAGGACAAACAAGCTGTGGAACTGGATGGTCTCAAGAGATACTTGGACTTCAAAGAAGACGAAGAAAAGTAAGAAATTTGTCTAAGGAAAACGTGGCCTGTGTTGTGGCATTAAAAGCGAGGATGACTCGTGTTGTGTTCATTGTCACTTTTTGCGAAAATCTCCTTCTACATTCCCTGCACAGCTCTGGTCACATGACTCTGTTCGTTGAAAAAGCTTATGTGTGCTACAATGTACAATGTATATTGACCAGGTTTACATGTAGTGAGGCCAGTAAAGGCGAACGGGGCGTTTAGAAGTACATGCATGTACTAGTTTGCTATAATTATCTTGGCATACATTAATCAATTAATTTATTATTATGCACTGCTTAAAAAACGAGCAGGAATGTATTAGCGGGTTAAAAACTCGAGGCAAAGCCGAGAGTTTTTACTTCTGGTAATACACGACTACGAGTTTTTTGAACGGCTTTATAATCTCTGATATACATGTGTAGATCAACTCATTCTTGCACTAATATTTAGATTTGGGCTATTTTGGTCCAAAAAATTAGACGTAAGGTTTAGCTGTGTGTTCTTATCAGATATAAAGACATTCATTGCACATTTCTTTCTTTTTTTTTTTTTTCTTTATGAATTATCAGTAAGTTTTTTAATACTATATATTATTTTGTTTTTAGGAGGAAGTTCAATGCACAGCAGTCGAAAGTAAACTTGTTAAAAGTAACGGCAAAATCTCCTCCCCATAGCGCAGCTTCTGCGGCCTCAAAGAGTCCTGAACCACGAAAGCCCAGGTACAACTTAGACCTACACTGCATACATTTAGTTTAAAAATCCATCTACAGTGACTCCCTAAACATCAGGGTCCTGTTGTTCGAAGGTCGTTTAGCGCTAACCCGGAGTTAAATTACATGCGAGTTTCGTTTTCTTTTGCTCAAAAGCATTCTCTCTGATAATTTTCTCTATTATTTTTTTAGAGCATCCAATCGTTAAATTTTATATAGGCTTTTTACGCTGTCATATCTGAGTTCAAACTGCGCATTAACTCCCAAGTTTGAATAAACCCGCCCAGAATGCCAAGTTGTTTGCTAGTTAAGATGATTCAAAATATTTATGAATATGTAACTTCATAATTGACTCTTTGTTTGTTTGTTTTTGTTTTGTTCTTTTTTTTCTTACAGACAGTTTTCGAGACCAGAATCAGAGAGATACGGAAGAGGTATGCAATTCGTAAGCTATTCGTTGGTTGCCTCACGCGTGACATTAAAATTTTGAAGTTTTTCATACCCAGTCGCTGTTGGTCGTATTTGTCTATTCTAAGACCGTTTTACACGGGTCCATTCCAAATTCGTCCGTTCAAAAATTTGCTTGGACGCCGAGCAAATTGTTGAACGGACGAATTTTTTAACCAACATTATCCGTTGGGATCTTCAATGATCTTGCCAAGATCTTTGAGGATTTTACAATTTAGATCTTCATGAAAATTCCCGCAAAGATCTTCAAAATGCACGCAAAGACTTATGAACGAGGATCCTCGAAAATTTTTGCGGAGAACCGTGAAGATCTTGGTTAGAATTTTTGGAATATAGAGAAAGAGAAAGGCAGAAAAAGAGAAAGTAGGCGGCAGGCCAGCGAAGCTCGACGAGAAAAAGAGCCACATAGAGCTCGAGCGAGAGATAAAAAAAGAAAGGGGAAATTATTTTTTTATTGGAAGCACGACATGAAAATTTTGTAGCGGCGGTGAGAAAATGAGAAATGCTAGCGGCCACCGAGGTGAAAATGAGCGGCAGTGAAAAAAACAAACAAGCAAACAAACAAAAAATGAACAAGAACACACTAGGAAGTTTCTGGAAGTTTCACGTTGTAGTCGTGCAAAACAACGCCGCAGAAATGTACAAGAAGTGTGCTGCACGTGCAGAGTTGCTTTTTTGCTAATTAGACCTATTGTTGTTTTATTTCCTTCCTCGTTGCTTTTGCCGCCTAGCAATACACGATTGTTTATTTTGTTTGAGCAAACTATAAATATTAATTATCGAGAGCTTCGCTTTGAGCCCTAGTTAAATCTATATATTACTCTATACTAGGGGTACGTTCCGGCTAGCGCAAACAAGAAAAATTTGTTTAACTCTCGTGAAATGTGCCCATTTGTTTTTGTTGGTTTTTGTTGTTTTTGTTTTTTACAAGCTTTACAGGTTTAAANATTGACTCTTTGTTTGTTTGTTTTTGTTTTGTTCTTTTTTTTCTTACAGACAGTTTTCGAGACCAGAATCAGAGAGATACGGAAGAGGTATGCAATTCGTAAGCTATTCGTTGGTTGCCTCACGCGTGACATTAAAATTTTGAAGTTTTTCATACCCAGTCGCTGTTGGTCGTATTTGTCTATTCTAAGACCCTTTTACACGGGTCCATTCCAAATTCGTCCGTTCAAAAATTTGCTTGGACGCCGAGCAAATTGTTGAACGGACGAATTTTTTAACCAACATTATCCGTTGGGATCTTCAATGATCTTGCCAAGATCTTTGAGGATTTTACAATTTAGATCTTCATGAAAATTCCCGCAAAGATCTTCAAAATGCACGCAAAGACTTATGAACGAGGATCCTCGAAAATTTTTGCGGAGAACCGTGAAGATCTTGGTTAGAATTTTTGGAATATAGAGAAAGAGAAAGGCAGAAAAAGAGAAAGTAGGCGGCAGGCCAGCGAAGCTCGACGAGAAAAAGAGCCACATAGAGCTCGAGCGAGAGATAAAAAAAGAAAGGGGAAATTATTTTTTTATTGGAAGCACGACATGAAAATTTTGTAGCGGCGGTGAGAAAATGAGAAATGCTAGCGGCCACCGAGGTGAAAATGAGCGGCAGTGAAAAAAACAAACAAGCAAACAAACAAAAAATGAACAAGAACACACTAGGAAGTTTCTGGAAGTTTCACGTTGTAGTCGTGCAAAACAACGCCGCAGAAATGTACAAGAAGTGTGCTGCACGTGCAGAGTTGCTTTTTTGCTAATTAGACCTATTGTTGTTTTATTTCCTTCCTCGTTGCTTTTGCCGCCTAGCAATACACGATTGTTTATTTTGTTTGAGCAAACTATAAATATTAATTATCGAGAGCTTCGCTTTGAGCCCTAGTTAAATCTATATATTACTCTATACTAGGGGTACGTTCCGGCTAGCGCAAACAAGAAAAATTTGTTTAACTCTCGTGAAATGTGCCCATTTGTTTTTGTTGGTTTTTGTTGTTTTTGTTTTTTACAAGCTTTACAGGTTTAAAATTGATTTCGCTGTGGACAAGGTGGCTAATAACGTGACCCAAGTTTGAAACAACAACTTGCATGTGGGCACAATTTGTAGGTGTTCACTTTTATTAAACAAAAACATAGCTTGACACTTTGTTGGTAAATTGGAGCAAGTTAGCTCTTATGAAACTCCATTGTATCAAAACGTTAGAAATATAAAATGAAAAAGAAAAAAAAAATTCCAACCTTTCGCCCATCTGGTGCGTAAATTTGTTGCATTTCTCACGGGAGCTGAGGGTTGGCGCAACGTAAATCAAGCTGCAAAAAACACGCTTTGCGCGTTGAACCCTATTCCTTGATCAGCTGCTGCAAAACAGGGCACTATTAGCCGTTTCAAACAAGAAATCGTAATCCTACTCACCTGTTTGGTCCTGCGTAACAAGTCAACAAAGGTAATCCATACTCCACTACCAATTCACAACCAACAGTTACACATTGGCTCACCTGGCCTCGAAACACAAGGAGTAAATAAATGCAAGACCGTGACGTCACTGCCCAAATATGGGGTACTACTTACACCCAAATATGGGCAAAAAAAGGTTAAACAGAATTTGAGAAATTTTGCTATACATTGCGTTGCATTATGAAGCTGCCGCCGAGTTAGCGGCTCGCTTGTTACCTTGTTGGCAATTATCTTAAACGAGACTTATGTCAGGGTAAAGCTGTTTAATTCCTTGGTAAAATAATCATTGAACTGAATTTATTTGATTTTGTGAATTGCAGGTCAAGTTATCCCATATTACCAGTCCCCAGTGCGATATTACGATGCTGCACCGATTCAGCTTGAGCAGAGCAGTGTTTTACACGAACTCAAGTAAGTTTTCAGTACATAATTATATGTGGTCACGTTCTCATATTTTTCCCCCCTTGAATGACTAGTAAAGTGTGCAACCCGCCGTTAATGTACGTCCTTTTTAATTTGATGCTGTGTTGCGCAAAAAAATAGTCGTTGCGAATCGTCCCGTGCAAAATCACCTTAAAATGGCAAAACAACAAGTTTGCACGTGCAGCACACTTTTTGGTACATGACTTCCACCTAAAATTTCTGTGGAAAACGTAAACAAATTAAATGAAGACGAATTTCTCTTCCTTTTTCGGACTAGGAATTCAGCTCGAAGAGAGTTCGCCTAAATTTGAATAAGTGAGCGAAGTAAATCAAAGGACACCAAGTCACTTGTAGTGACGTTTTTGCCGCTGACGCTGTTGTACTGTGGTATCGTAAACTCCTTATCGTCAACTCTCTCTCTCTGTCTGTTTAGACTTTTGTTGTTGTCTCTCAAACCCTGTTACTGAATGATATACTTTGCCCTACCTTACGAATAAATTTTACAGTTAGTACCATTTACAGTGTATCCTCTTTGCAGTATGTTAAAGAACGACTACTTTCAAAAAGGTGGCCATGACCCTGCTATACTGGCGCAAATAAGAGATTTGGAATTTGAAGCTCAAAGAATACAAGCAGTTCAAAGGCCAGCTCCACCACCCGGTAAGGAACACAGTCTAGCAGACAACGGTGTTTGTAATTTTTATTTCATGCATACTGTATACACTCGTGTCATCATTACCTTTCGTCCCTCATTGTAAAGGAATTGAGCCGCTTGTATTCTACACAATCCATTAACTTCTATGGTTTAGGGCGAATATATTCTTTTGTCAGCCCCGCGTTTAACACTATACCAAGAGTACATAGTTTTCTATTAGGGTTTTTCTTCAACTAGACGCAGTTAAAGTTTCAATCCCCTAACGTACGCCATCAAAATCAACTACCCCACGCCCNTAAATCAAAGGACACCAAGTCACTTGTAGTGACGTTTTTGCCGCTGACGCTGTTGTACTGTGGTATCGTAAACTCCTTATCGTCAACTCTCTCTCTCTGTCTGTTTAGACTTTTGTTGTTGTCTCTCAAACCCTGTTACTGAATGATATACTTTGCCCTACCTTACGAATAAATTTTACAGTTAGTACCATTTACAGTGTATCCTCTTTGCAGTATGTTAAAGAACGACTACTTTCAAAAAGGTGGCCATGACCCTGCTATACTGGCGCAAATAAGAGATTTGGAATTTGAAGCTCAAAGAATACAAGCAGTTCAAAGGCCAGCTCCACCACCCGGTAAGGAACACAGTCTAGCAGACAACGGTGTTTGTAATTTTTATTTCATGCATACTGTATACACTCGTGTCATCATTACCTTTCGTCCCTCATTGTAAAGGAATTGAGCCGCTTGTATTCTACACAATCCATTAACTTCTATGGTTTAGGGCGAATATATTCTTTTGTCAGCCCCGCGTTTAACACTATACCAAGAGTACATAGTTTTCTATTAGGGTTTTTCTTCAACTAGACGCAGTTAAAGTTTCAATCCCCTAACGTACGCCATCAAAATCAACTACCCCACGCCCATGTTAAATGAAACTGCCAGAAATGCTATTTTCTGCTGTCGCTTTGCTTTCTTAAAAGCGTTAATAATGATAATGATAATGTTAACTGCACGAATAGTGAAGTCATTGAAACAGGAAAGCATTCTTTGGCTTTTAGCATTTACAAAGGAAACACCTGTTAAAAGTACCCCGTTGGTTTCCTTCATCATTGCGTGCTGAGCTTATGTAGCCTGTCGTGTTGTAAGGAAACTCTTTTCGAATCCGCGTGTCCTCCTTTCCGCCGCTACATGCATAATTTCGAGCCCTGACTTTGTCACTGCTAGCAACTGACGTCTCTTGCTTCTCTTATACATGTACTTTGTTTCATTTAGCAACAGATCCTCTTCTACAACAGCAGATAATCAGTTTTCACATGGCAAACCAAAGATTAGAACAAGAGCTACAGATGCTGAGGGTAAAAATATTACTAACAGCGCTATCTGTTAAACTTCATCTTTGATACTCTGCGACAACTATAATGCTGTTATCGAGCCAATTAATTCCTTGTATTCATATTCTGCTTGTCATTGAGTTGTGTCAAGATGTCTCCGTTGCAAGTTTTCGGTCAGCACAACTAACTTAAGCTAGTGCTGTTTGGCCTCACAGCTATAAAATTGGGGTAGTGTCTTGCTTAAATTTGCGACTGGGGAACGTTATCAGACGACCATCATTGCATGGTAATAAACGCAATAGAAAACGGCAAAACGCAGCTGGAATTACTCAAATAAATGGATGAATGGCCGACAAAAATATCCCGTTCAAATAACTCCCTCTGCGTTTGGTTTTTTAAAGATCTTCTCAAAACCTATAGTCTATGAAGAAGTCCGTATTAGACAGCCTTAAAATGAAATCTCTTTATTTCATATGTTTGTTCTCGTGTGTAGGAAGAGAGGAACCAAAAAGACAGAATGCGATCTCCAGGTACCTATCCCTGTACTTAAAGTTTAGGAGTTTATCATTGTCTTGATTGAGAAAAGGAAACTAAGTGCCAAGTCAAGTTTGCAACCAATCTGGTGGCTGGTGGTAATTTAGAGCAATCTTTAAGACCCATAAAGTGTCTTTAACTCAAAAAGTTTATATGTTACTTTATTTTAAGTCTTATAAATCGCACGCATGTCTTTCCTCATAACGTAGTCTTTTAAAATGCGCGAAGTATTTGTTTATGATTTTGTGGAAACAAAATTACTGTTCAGGTGTGTTTCTTTTTTCCATTGTGTCCTTAAGACCTGGATCCCGAGTTTAAACGGATAAAAGAGGAGCACTTGGTAAGAATGGCGTCCCTGAGACAGGAGGCAGAATTATTAAGGCAACAGGCTGAAGTGGAGAAAATGAGAAGAGAACTAAAGGAGCTCAGAGGCGAAAAACTACCACTGGACGAAACACGAAAGGTGGAGTAAATGTTTTTTTGTAGACCTTTGAGGGATAGGCGATATTTGTTGTGTGGGAAAATTCACGAGTTGGCTTAAAGTCCCTTTTTCCGCGCAATCGTTGTCATTCATGCCCACTAACATTTAAGGGCACTTTACTTGAAGTAAACAACTCATGAATTGGAAACAAGTCAATAAACATAATGAACATGCCACCTTTGAATTCAAGCAGGCAAACAATGCAAGCAAAACAGGCAAAAACCCTGAACTTTTACCCAGTACTTTCTTTTTATGCTTTCCACTGTATGTGCTAAACCCTTCCCCGGGAGGAGGGGGGAATTATGCCTCTGCATAAGATAAAGAGTAATAATAAAGAGTGCTTTTCAAATATATTTTTTCCCAACTAGCAAGGTACAGCTTCCAGCCTAGCTAGAATATACTGCTTAACAGTATCACAATATTAGGTGATGACCTGATTAGCATCAGATAACCGACTAACTTACCTTCAATAAACTTTTCACACTAAATGTCTCAAGTGGGCGAAGTAAAAATGACGAAATTGAGATTCTCTTTCGATTTACTGATCAGTCCTGTTTTGGTTTTAGCCGTTTGAGTCACCGTTCATGATGTCAAATGCGACCACAGAGAAGGACTTGCTTCCAAGCCCATACGATCCAAAGTAAGTTTTATAATGCCATGAGTCTTGGTCGAGAAATTGATACTCGAATCTGGTTTATATCTACAGCAGTAATTAACACGTTTATATTTGAATAGCCTTTCAAGTGAAGTTTCAACTGAGTTTTAGCCTAAAGTATGTTTATAATTGGGCTGCCTTTGGAAAATCCTAATCTAAAAATGGGCTTCATCGTCTGTGAAGCAAAAAGACAAAATTACAGACGAATCAACCAGAGGGTGTTGCGTGTCCTGTCCACCCTGCAGTTGAGCCCGATTTTTTGACAGTGTAGGGGAGGTGTTCGTCTTAAATTGCGGTGATCCTTTTTGCGTTAATTGTACCTTAGTGTTTGGCAACAAGGTCAGTAATGGCGACAGCAAAAAACAAAATTGCCATTTCTTTCGTCTCCAGTGCTGGCTTTGCAGTATATTGGGACTTTGTCCTTGGACTTAGCTCCTCACTGTCCAGGTGCAGACTCGCTGCAGGTGTCTATAAAGGAGTGGAGATTGCAACAGACGTGAAATTGCTGCCGCTTGTCAGAACGACAGCTATTACGAAAGAAAGCCATCCCACAATACCGCCTGGCGGCGTTGGTGTTGTTGGAGTCAAACATCCATTTCCAAGGTGGGTTTAGGCGCTTGAATTACATACGAAAGTAATTGGCAATTAAGTGAAAATGATTTAAAGTTAAGAATGTGTTAGGGATGGGCTCTCCCAGTAGTGGCTTTGGTCAAAATTCCAAATTTCATTTGATGAAGTGCTGATAAATAAACGGTACCATGTAAAAAGCACTACCTAAGCTGCATACAAAACTAATAGTGCCATGTGAAAGTACTACTGAAGAGGTTTCATTTAAATGGTCACACCATAGGATTTCATCCACAGACTCAAAAGTTAGAACCACCTTACAAGAATCTGCTTGGAAGAGGAAGAGTCATTGTGAAATGTCAGGGAAAGGGGTTCCCATGCAAAACTGTGTTTTCTCTTATTTGATTAATCTGGCTGTGATTTGTATTTCTGCAGATGTCTTCCCGATCAGGATCTCTGTCTTGTTGTGGAGCTCCAAGCTAACAGCGCCGAGGACTCGAATGACCCCACTGAATTATTTTCTAAGGGATGGACAAAAATCGACCTGTTTGACATCAGCAATCGGCTGCTGAGTGGAAGGTAGAAACAGTGTCCATGAATTCTCAGTTTCCTCTTTTTTCTCGCTTTCTTTCTTTTCTTTTCTTAAACGTACATTAAATGTAGTCTGGGTGTCCATGTTAAGGCGGAGGGTAGTATAATTTAAGTAAAATCACTTTTATTATGTGTAGTGGCCGGACTGGAGTAATCAAATGTCGATCGCCTAGACGCGTTATTTCTCTTTTATTGAGTGGGGGTAACGTCATTTGTCTTCTTTCCCTTTATTTTCTTTTCTATTATTATTTTTGGACATCTCAGTTAAGTTTTGCGCTAAGAACAAAATTCTTCACTCACCTTTTCTAGTGGAAATCTTTCCCTTATGTCATTTGTCTTCTACGTTATTTCTAGAATTTTTTTTTCCTTTCTTCGTGAACTCCGGTATTGGCTATTTAACTAATTCCTTGGTACTCTGTTTTTATCATGGTTCCACTGTATTGGTTAATTATCTTATTCTTTTTATCGTTATTATTATTATTTTTCTTATTTTAGGTGGAAAATTCCAATTCGGATAGCTCCAATCAAAGCCTTTTTGAGCACTCACGAATTGAATAAGATACCACAGGTTTGCCTCTTGTTACTGAACATGTTCTCGGGTAACAACACCGTTGTTAGCTGGAGGGAAGAGATCTTAAATCTTAAGCTTTTTCAAGTTTACCCTTTTTAAGGCAATTGCTAAAAGGTTTTACTTCCTCAGTCGTCCCTTATGTCTTCTTTGTTAACTAAGTCAGCCTCAAACTCACTGAACAAAAGGAAAGGTTTACTTTAACGAGAATGGCCCCTCTCACTCTCTCGCTGACCTCGCGTGAGGTGAGGAGGATGTTTGAAAATAGGTCTAGTTAGAAGCGCAGCCAGGACGTTTCAGAGAAACACAGTTTTCTAAGTCCAGACTCAACGCTGTCTCCCAAATGAATTGTTTCCATGCAGGTTACTCCATTACATTTGCGTCTTGTATCATTGTAGAGAGTTACTCTCTCTCTCGGTGTAGTACCGTGTACTGCAAGAGGCACTATCAGTTTTCTTTTGGGGGGAAAAATCAATGTGACAGAAAATTAAACAGAGCTCATAAGGCGTTAGCTCCTTTGTTTTATATTTGGGCTCAGTTAATTCCAACCGATCTAATGACCTTGTAGTCGAAATTTTCGCAAATAGTGGTATAAAAAACTCAGAAGTGGTCAAGTGGAACATCAGTACATTCACGTTAGATAACTTGACAGGTAAAATAGTGTAGAATCGATTATAGTGCTGTTGAGCCATTGTTACTGTTATCGCTTGTTTATTATTATTATTATTATTATTATTATTATTATTATTATTATTAGTATTAGTATTAGTATTAGTATTAGTATTATTATTATTATTATTATTATTATTATTATTATTTATATTTTTTGTAACTGTTTGATCGATGCACAGGTTGGACAAGCGGAGCTGTATATCAGACTTGTGAATAGCCGTGACGTCACGTCACAGGATGCCCTAAACGCACAACCCATACAACATTACATGTACAAATATCCAGCCTTGGTGAGTGGCCATTCACGTTGTAAAGGTCAGGCAAAATTGGTAAAGAAGTATGCTGTGTGCCGTCAAGCACACCTTAAAGAGAAGACGCAGTTTTTTCGTCTCTTCCTCGAGGGTCGGGTAGTCGGAGGAAGGAGTAGCAATACAATTAGTTACAATGCGTTACAATGCAAAACAGCTTTCTTAGCATTTTGTTTTCTATTTGCAAAGTCACCCGAAACATTTTGATCTTTTTCGTCCTTCGCACTTCTTTAACGTTGGCAAAGACAGTCAACTGTCGCCTTGCCGACACCCCGCTATAACGGACAGCAGCTAAATCCCTGGCGAAAATAAATTGCAGACGTTTGACTGAAATAAACTCTCGCTATTACGGACTCTAGCTAATGGTTACACTAACTCAAGGTCCCTACATTGTCCCCTATAAAGGGAGTTGATGTAATTTGAAATCTATTTCAGGAAAACATCCGCGTGGTACCACATATACGTCACTCTTCTCCACAACAGGTCGATTTTACTCCTGCACCACCCCCGTCAGTGCCTCCTCCACCCGACACCCCTGTGTCTGCTATTCAACGGGTTGAAAGGTGAGTGGCAAGTGCATATCCTCCAGAGACTTGGTAGCCAACGCCACTGATTGGTTTTCCGTCTGCGAGCCTGAGCCGAAATCCTTGTTCTTGATCCTCACCTGTGTTAAAGAAGCCATTGTCAATTTTCCAATCAGGTTTAAAGAGAAATTCGAGACGTACTTTCGGTAATACGTTGACTCTGTCGGGGACCCAGAGAAGGGCTCGCGGCGCCGCGTTGCAGACGTTATTCGCCGCAGTTAGATTACGTTACGACACAGAGTGGGGACAAATCACAGGGCCCAGTATTTCCGGCATATTTTGAGCCTATGATGGAATCCATCAGGAAATTAAGTAATTTTGATGTTCAGTGGACAAAAATCTTGTACCAGAAAAAATTAAAGAATATTGCATTCTTTCTTACATTTTTCAAGGGCTAAAGGTGTAATAAATCATCTGTAGTAACACCAAAAAATTCTTATGGAAGCCCGAGAAAATGAATGTCAAATTTCACAAAATTACATTTTACACATGAAATTTTTGGAATTTTAACTGCATAATCACAATTCTTGTGAAATTTGACATTTATTTTCTCTGACTTTTATGAGAAATTTTCTTTGGTGTTACTACAGATGATTTATGAATGATGTAAAAAAAGAATGCAATATTCTTTAAATTATTCTGGTACAAGATTTTTGTCCACTGAAAATTAAAATAACTCAGTTTCCTGATGGATTCCGTCTTAATTATTTTACAACGAGTGTCCTTGTGCAAGATATTTTCATGCACATCTCTTAAGATAAATATTGCAAAGATAGTATGGTTAGCTCCTTAGGAAGAACGCTAGTTTGCTGGGCGGTAGGTCGAGAGTTCGGAACCCCGTCCGGACCACAGACCAAGATCAAGCTAGCTGTGATTTAAAATCTTGTCTCTGTTAAGATGATCGTGTTGTATTTGGCAGCGATGTTAAACCGTTGGCTTTGCCTCGTCCAAGGCATTTCTCGAACAGATTAGGGACGTAAACCCCTTTGTATTTCTGCAGATGTCTTCCCGATCAGGATCTCTGTCTTGTTGTGGAGCTCCAAGCTAACAGCGCCGAGGACTCGAATGACCCCACTGAATTATTTTCTAAGGGATGGACAAAAATCGACCTGTTTGACATCAGCAATCGGCTGCTGAGTGGAAGGTAGAAACAGTGTCCATGAATTCTCAGTTTCCTCTTTTTTCTCGCTTTCTTTCTTTTCTTTTCTTAAACGTACATTAAATGTAGTCTGGGTGTCCATGTTAAGGCGGAGGGTAGTATAATTTAAGTAAAATCACTTTTATTATGTGTAGTGGCCGGACTGGAGTAATCAAATGTCGATCGCCTAGACGCGTTATTTCTCTTTTATTGAGTGGGGGTAACGTCATTTGTCTTCTTTCCCTTTATTTTCTTTTCTATTATTATTTTTGGACATCTCAGTTAAGTTTTGCGCTAAGAACAAAATTCTTCACTCACCTTTTCTAGTGGAAATCTTTCCCTTATGTCATTTGTCTTCTACGTTATTTCTAGAATTTTTTTTTCCTTTCTTCGTGAACTCCGGTATTGGCTATTTAACTAATTCCTTGGTACTCTGTTTTTATCATGGTTCCACTGTATTGGTTAATTATCTTATTCTTTTTATCGTTATTATTATTATTTTTCTTATTTTAGGTGGAAAATTCCAATTCGGATAGCTCCAATCAAAGCCTTTTTGAGCACTCACGAATTGAATAAGATACCACAGGTTTGCCTCTTGTTACTGAACATGTTCTCGGGTAACAACACCGTTGTTAGCTGGAGGGAAGAGATCTTAAATCTTAAGCTTTTTCAAGTTTACCCTTTTTAAGGCAATTGCTAAAAGGTTTTACTTCCTCAGTCGTCCCTTATGTCTTCTTTGTTAACTAAGTCAGCCTCAAACTCACTGAACAAAAGGAAAGGTTTACTTTAACGAGAATGGCCCCTCTCACTCTCTCGCTGACCTCGCGTGAGGTGAGGAGGATGTTTGAAAATAGGTCTAGTTAGAAGCGCAGCCAGGACGTTTCAGAGAAACACAGTTTTCTAAGTCCAGACTCAACGCTGTCTCCCAAATGAATTGTTTCCATGCAGGTTACTCCATTACATTTGCGTCTTGTATCATTGTAGAGAGTTACTCTCTCTCTCGGTGTAGTACCGTGTACTGCAAGAGGCACTATCAGTTTTCTTTTGGGGGGAAAAATCAATGTGACAGAAAATTAAACAGAGCTCATAAGGCGTTAGCTCCTTTGTTTTATATTTGGGCTCAGTTAATTCCAACCGATCTAATGACCTTGTAGTCGAAATTTTCGCAAATAGTGGTATAAAAAACTCAGAAGTGGTCAAGTGGAACATCAGTACATTCACGTTAGATAACTTGACAGGTAAAATAGTGTAGAATCGATTATAGTGCTGTTGAGCCATTGTTACTGTTATCGCTTGTTTATTATTATTATTATTATTATTATTATTATTATTATTAGTATTAGTATTAGTATTAGTATTAGTATTATTATTATTATTATTATTATTATTATTATTATTTATATTTTTTGTAACTGTTTGATCGATGCACAGGTTGGACAAGCGGAGCTGTATATCAGACTTGTGAATAGCCGTGACGTCACGTCACAGGATGCCCTAAACGCACAACCCATACAACATTACATGTACAAATATCCAGCCTTGGTGAGTGGCCATTCACGTTGTAAAGGTCAGGCAAAATTGGTAAAGAAGTATGCTGTGTGCCGTCAAGCACACCTTAAAGAGAAGACGCAGTTTTTTCGTCTCTTCCTCGAGGGTCGGGTAGTCGGAGGAAGGAGTAGCAATACAATTAGTTACAATGCGTTACAATGCAAAACAGCTTTCTTAGCATTTTGTTTTCTATTTGCAAAGTCACCCGAAACATTTTGATCTTTTTCGTCCTTCGCACTTCTTTAACGTTGGCAAAGACAGTCAACTGTCGCCTTGCCGACACCCCGCTATAACGGACAGCAGCTAAATCCCTGGCGAAAATAAATTGCAGACGTTTGACTGAAATAAACTCTCGCTATTACGGACTCTAGCTAATGGTTACACTAACTCAAGGTCCCTACATTGTCCCCTATAAAGGGAGTTGATGTAATTTGAAATCTATTTCAGGAAAACATCCGCGTGGTACCACATATACGTCACTCTTCTCCACAACAGGTCGATTTTACTCCTGCACCACCCCCGTCAGTGCCTCCTCCACCCGACACCCCTGTGTCTGCTATTCAACGGGTTGAAAGGTGAGTGGCAAGTGCATATCCTCCAGAGACTTGGTAGCCAACGCCACTGATTGGTTTTCCGTCTGCGAGCCTGAGCCGAAATCCTTGTTCTTGATCCTCACCTGTGTTAAAGAAGCCATTGTCAATTTTCCAATCAGGTTTAAAGAGAAATTCGAGACGTACTTTCGGTAATACGTTGACTCTGTCGGGGACCCAGAGAAGGGCTCGCGGCGCCGCGTTGCAGACGTTATTCGCCGCAGTTAGATTACGTTACGACACAGAGTGGGGACAAATCACAGGGCCCAGTATTTCCGGCATATTTTGAGCCTATGATGGAATCCATCAGGAAATTAAGTAATTTTGATGTTCAGTGGACAAAAATCTTGTACCAGAAAAAATTAAAGAATATTGCATTCTTTCTTACATTTTTCAAGGGCTAAAGGTGTAATAAATCATCTGTAGTAACACCAAAAAATTCTTATGGAAGCCCGAGAAAATGAATGTCAAATTTCACAAAATTACATTTTACACATGAAATTTTTGGAATTTTAACTGCATAATCACAATTCTTGTGAAATTTGACATTTATTTTCTCTGACTTTTATGAGAAATTTTCTTTGGTGTTACTACAGATGATTTATGAATGATGTAAAAAAAGAATGCAATATTCTTTAAATTATTCTGGTACAAGATTTTTGTCCACTGAAAATTAAAATAACTCAGTTTCCTGATGGATTCCGTCTTAATTATTTTACAACGAGTGTCCTTGTGCAAGATATTTTCATGCACATCTCTTAAGATAAATATTGCAAAGATAGTATGGTTAGCTCCTTAGGAAGAACGCTAGTTTGCTGGGCGGTAGGTCGAGAGTTCGGAACCCCGTCCGGACCACAGACCAAGATCAAGCTAGCTGTGATTTAAAATCTTGTCTCTGTTAAGATGATCGTGTTGTATTTGGCAGCGATGTTAAACCGTTGGCTTTGCCTCGTCCAAGGCATTTCTCGAACAGATTAGGGACGTAAACCCCTGTTGGGGTATGGTCCATCTTTGATGGGGTTAAGGGACTGTTAGGGCCCGCAGCACTAGGTTTACTCGTTGTTACGGTTACCACTCCAAGGACTGGCAAAGCTATTAAACTAAATAAAAAGCTCTTGTAATTTTGATACTTTGAAAAACACACAAGTGCAAATAAATTCCAAATTGAACCAATACATATAAGATTTTAAGAGAGTAAATTGTTTTTATTTCGTTTTCGGTTTTTAGTGCTCCAAAGACACCGATTGAGGATTCAGTTGTTGGCTTTCAAGTGGATAAACTAGTAAATGCGATCCGAGGAGAGTCGAGGATAAAAATTACTGTCTATGAACATGATCAGGGCCAGGTAAGTGGTAATGCTTATTTTTATCAATCAGTAAACAAATCTATTAATCCATTATAAAGCAAGTTACTAAATGTTTCTGACAATCAGTCAGTCGGTCAGTCAAAGAGTCAGTGAATCAGCCAGTCAGTCAATGAGTTAGTCAATCAATGACTCAATCAGTCAGTCAGTCAGTCAGTCAGTCAGTCAGCCAGTCAGTCAATGAGTCAGTCAGTCAGACAGTCGATGAGTTAGTCAGTCAGTCAGTCAGGCAGTCAGTCCGTCAATGACTCAGTCAGTCTTTCAGTCATGTAGTCAGTGAACAGGTGAGGTAGATCCATCTTTCCTATTTCCTTTATTTTTTTCGTATTCGAGTAACTTCTCCATGCACCAGACATTTCATCCTCCATTCGTTCGTTCATCCGTCTATTTTCACTTTTCACTTTGACTGCCGACAAATCCCCTGACCCAATTGTCCAGTTTCGAATTAAAAATTACCCCTGAATATAAGCATTAACGGCACATTCATACCGGGTTAGCCTCGACTTAAAGTAAAATATTCAGAAATTCTGGCAAGTAAGTGTTTGAAATTTGAATATAGACAATAGACAGACTAATAAACAGGTCTTTTTCTCGTTGGAATTTGTGAATATATTACTTCAGATTGAGGCTAAGGCTGTAAAAAGTGCGTCTTCATTTCTATAATTCAGCGGTAACTCGAAAATGGACTATTTGATTGTTGTGTCTCAGGTGATCAAAGGGGATAACGATAGACCTGTAATTTGTATCACCAAGGCTGCTAAGCAAGACTTCCTTGAGGGTATATACTCCTTCGGACTACAAGAGGTAAATTAGTTTACTCACGGTCCGTAGTTCTTACGTCTGCGTATTTTTAGAACGGTTGTTTGTAGACAGATAACTTTTCAAAACCCCCCTCAACATACGAAACAACCAACATAATAATAATGAGCAACTCTTTTATGGTAATTCTTTCCCTTATTGTCATGTAAACTGAAGATCGATCTGTCACGTCACGCAAGGGAATCCAAGGCAGTTTCGGATTCTGGATTCCACGCCGTGGATTCGCATTCCAGGTACTGGATTCCGGATTTTTTTGTCAGTGGAACTTGGATTCCGGACTCCAATCGTTAATGGGATTCCAGATCCCTTGAGCCGTTTTCCGGATTCCACAAGGAATAAATGTCCGGATATTTCTGTAATCGGGATTCCCTTGCATTGGGTAAGATTCTTCGGAGGTACTACTTTCATTCTTCTTGTGTTTGTTTGTTTTTGCTCTTTGGTCATTCTCCCCAACATTTACAGAAGGAATTCGAGTCTTCGAATATCACTTTGCTATCGACGCTTTGGCAGAACAATCATAATAGGAATGTTCTGAAACCCAGCCATCGAACAAATCCTTCTTGTTGAAAATCTTTCTTACCCTGGATTATTTGCCATTCAAACAAACGTTCGGCAAAATACAATTTTACAAAATGGTTTATTCTTCAAAACCCAAAACTTTCAATATTAATCTGATCTACACGTTTTGTCTTGATGCCAAACGCGGTTAAATTTAAAACACCCAATCACATCTTGAATTTCTGCACAGAGATTGTCCACTGGTTGTTTTTAAGGGTTATACTATGACTTTAAAATATAACATCGCCCTAACAGCTTATGTGCATGTGAATTGTTGGAAATGGCAGTGATGCATTTGTTTTTCCGAGTGGACGATGATTCATTCAAGTAAAACGTTTCTATTATAATTATGATAGTTGTTTTCGAAAATGACCATAGATAATGGTAGAAGAACGCGCTGTTAAGGTATTTTTGATAAAATAAATAAATAAATAAATAAATAAATAATAATGATAGTGATGTTGAAAAAGAGGCCTTTACGTATCCATCATCCCGACTAAACAACAGGGTTTCCAGTGCACTTGGCACAGGTCAGTTAATTATGGTCTCTTTCTTCACAATTGTAACTGGTGGTACGTCTCCATTACGACTTATCCATTTGATCTTTACTTGCTTTGTTCTGCTTCTGTGCTCTGTGTCGCCGTCTTTTCCCTTGAACGTTTCCAGAGGTTCTTCTAATTCTTCTTCAACCACAATATACTCGCCATGTTGTTGCGTTCCGTTGGGAAAAATATATGTACCCGGCCCGATCATTTTGTCGTCGTGGAAACTTCCAATGTAGCTCTGTTTCCCGAAAGTAAGCTTGCCTCTTCCTGCAAACATAAAGAAACTGTTCAAACTTGGTCTTCCGTTTGAGTTCTTTGTTTGTTTTGCATCCATTTAAACCTATGATCTATCTGTGCTGTGACGCGTTCTTAACTTTTGTTTGTTTTTGTTAGGCCATTCGCATGATGGCGTCATTTTACTACTACGACGAGAATCCTTCAGGTTTTTGCTTTCTTGTGCAAACTAGAGCTTTTGTTGTTTAAACCTCGCTGGGATTACCAAATTTAAATGTGAAAGGAAAAACGACAAGAATTATGGTCGTAGTAGTAAAATGACACCATCTTGCAAATGGCTTTTTTTTTTTGGCGTTAAAATGTACTTTGGGTGAGCATAAGCCCAAATTTAGACCCTGTACATACATGGAGTGGGGGACCCCGGTCTAGTGGGTTACGTTTCTTTTGTTTTGTGTCCCCTAGAGCGTGAAAACAAAAGAAACCAACCCCACTGGACCGGGGTCCCTTAAAGAGCCTTGAAACACCGCTGTTCCTCGGCCTTAGTTCAAGTTCTTATAATTTTGCGATTTAATTCGTCCAAGGTTATTTCCAAGAAGAACACACATAAAAATGTGTAAAAAGTGGACAATTTGGCGTCAGACAAAACCAGTAAAATCGATGGGAAGCTGCGATATCCATAGACGTTTTTTTGGCGCATAGAAATAATGAGACTGAACGACTTGTCAAATTCAGTAATACGCTTTATTTCTCAGTTTTTATTGCATGTTATTTGCATATTGCTTTTTTTGTATTTTTAGTCTGTTTTTCCCGTTTGTAATTCGTTCATTCTAAATTAGAATGATCAGTTTACAAAAATATTTTAAGTGACGTATTTTTTATTATAATATTATTATTTTTTTGCTGTTTTGACGAGTTTTTGAGATTTACCAGTGAGACTTTAGAATACATTTCTTATTGTTTACCCTTCACGATTTTAAGTTGTCATGTTTCACGAAAGTGAAGGTTAAATCGCTTTTATTGACAGTTTGACTAACCATATGGAAGAAGTATTTTTTTTAATATTTGCATAAACTTAAACCGTGCAGAAATGTGAATCTGATTTCTTTGTCTTGCGCTTGTGTTGCTTTTTAGTTATTAATGCAAAGCGATTTCGTTTTTTTAAATATTTTATGAAATTATTACTTCTCATAGCAACCTGCTTCTCGTTCTGTTCGAAGATTTGTGAACATTATGCGATTTACCTTATGACAGTGTCCACCCTGGCGTAATTAAGACCATTTATTGAAGGTTTTTCTTTCCTTTTTCTTTTTTTTTTTTTTTCTTTGTATTCCCCGAAGAAATAATTTTGCTGAAACAATTCTTTCTGAGTCTTCCCAAGCGTCGCTCATATTTATGCATAGGTATACCTTTCGGTGATCAGGCTGCGGGCTACATTGGTCAAATTACGTCGGGTTTGATTTAAGGTTCCGATATTACAAATTACCGTATGCAAAACTGTGTGAACGCTTTAGACGTTTGGCATTTTGAGGCTCTTCGTGTTTGTTAACCTGCGTATTGTACGTCGCAATTTGTTTTGGCTGCGTGAGCATCAAAGAGCTGTTCTGTCGCTTGATTTATCCGTATTCAAGTTAAGTGGGTCTAAGGTTTGATTTATGAACTAAATCCTCTCATACTCTGATACTCTACAGCCAAATAAAGGTTTCTGCATGTTACTGAATTGATTTTCCTAGTCGGACTGTTTTAATTGTCTGTTTCCCCTACCTGATCTTTTCCCCTCATACCATTGGCCTTCATATGTCATGCCGCTCGCTGCATATGTGTACGTTCCTTGTCCATGCCGTCTATCGTGTTCCCATTCGCCCCGATACAAATCCCCGTTTGTATAGAAATACGCTCCGTAACCGTGTCTTAAGTCGTCTTTCCAGCTTCCCTCGTACTTCGCGCCGTCCGGGTACAG